TCGAAACATCAGGTTCCGAATTTGTCCATGGTGCTTGAAACAAACACCTTCTTGCTTGGCGAGATGCACATTCTGCTTCTCCGTCTTCATTTCCCGTGGAACCTATCAACGTGTTGAAGCAAGTGTCGACGCTCCAATGGAAATTCCTCATGATGCTATTGCACGCGCTCAAGAAGAGGCCGCGAATGCAGTCATCGAAATTGAAGAAGATGAACCTATGGAGGATGAACCACAACCAGAGGTCGACCACGACAATGACGTTGCCATGGGTGGTGATGACAGGCGGACTATCGCTGAACCCGAAGGTGAACTTGATCTTGACATGGACCTTGATGAACAAGCTGAGGGTGAAGCTGCTGCAGAGCACAACACAGAGGTTCAATCGCGTGCCCCCGTATTAATGTTCGACACCCAGTTTCACATTGCTCCTGAACAGGCTCATTATCAACAAGGACTCAGGGTGAACATTTTCCCCAATGCGGAACCAGCGCAAATCACGGATCCTCACCGGGACTATGCCAAGTACATGGCCTACATCATTGGGCACTTGCTGTACAAGAATTGGGCATCGTATTCTAAATGGCTTGAAATGCCCGTCCGAGCTGCTCGAGAAGCATTTGACAGAGGACAACGCCACGATTCCTTAGGAAAGTGGGGACGTCTCTCGGAAGTGGATCCAATGACAGGAGTACCGCGAGAACTTGATGATGACGAAGTTCTACAGCACGGCATCAGTCGAGGAGAACATGATGATCCAACAGGTGATCACGCCCTAAGCCGTTATCGCACCAACCAAATGCTCTCCATCCTTGTTCATGGCGCTATACTACTTGGATATCGACGTCAATACTTCCTAGTCAACAACCACGTACGCGAAGGCACGGAGGTGGTCACAAGCATGGTACACTCGAGCTGTGCGGCGTTATTGGCAAAGATCGTGGGCAAAGTCGCTGGCTATCGACAATTCAGCATGTTGACTCCGCGCAGCCAACATTCTCCAAGCTACATACTCAGCATTGATCCGTTTGGCATTTGCCAGTTATTCGGAGCCAAAGATTGTACTTTGCAACTCATCACGATGATGGTCGATCTGCAAATCCCTATCCAGCGCAAGTACACAACCCGGTTGACAAATGCTCGCGCCAAAGGACCTGAAAGCATATATCAAGGCAATGCTCTGCAGCATCTTCCTGGCGGCAGCATGCTACCACCTGCACGAACAAGCATCCTTAACATGCCCCTGACGGCAGAAGAGGAAGCAGAGGTCGCGCCTAAGGCAAGGCCCAAAGCCGCGAACAGAGCATCAGATCCCCACGAGCGCAAACGCCGCAGCCAGGAGACCTACCAGCAGCGTTATTCGGAATCATGGGATGATCGACGATGGGACCGTGACCGACACCATTGGTGAACGTCTACCTGTTCCTTCCTTAACATCATCGTAGAGTACAAGTTTGGATGTGGACATGTCTACAACGCACCACTTTTCGTGCGTATGCTGTCTTCGAGATGTGTTTCCTTTACTGAAGCGAAAGAACGGGGATCGCACTCGACGCTCACATGTCTCACGTCAACATAATTAAGGCTGATGACACGCACTGATTCGACATGCGCCGTTGAGCTTACTTTCTGCGTCTCTCTTCCTGGGTGAGTCAAGCCTAAGGCCTCACTCATGGGGGGTGTGAAGAGACATCGAAGCATTGTCCAATTTCAGTGTGAGCTATGATGATACCCATGTACACAACTCAGGGTGGCCCAGCCAACTGAGTAAGACTGAAGCTTGTGAGAACTCAGTTCAACAAGCGGATGTCTACGAAGCTCAATGATATCGGTGCATGGCTCAAGAAACTTGGCTCAAGCCAAGCCAGTGATCTAGCACCTGTCGTCCCATTTGCTTATCATTGTCAGTGCGTGAAGCCTTCTTGCAACGACTGCAGCGTACTACGTCCGCAGCAGAGAAAAGTGAAGAGCGATCGGATCTGCAAGGGTTATTCGTTATCACGTTGGAAGCAACCATTCTACCTCAACTACAAGCTCATCTGAGGGGAGCAAGGTCATATACAGCAGAAGTGTATACCAAGCCCTCACGCACTTCTTGGTAACCACCAGTAATGACGGCAATGTAGTTGGTTCCTATCACGTTCGAAAGAAAGCTAAGATGGACCTCGCTTGCAATTTTCACGGAGACTGTGGGGTGGGTTCCTACCTCAGCCTCGCGCGGCGCGGACTTCGCGCATCCTCGTCTTTGGCAGGCTTCTCGCCACATACTAGCAGTAGGTTTAATTCCCATCCAGTCTTTATGTTATGCGTGATCTAATACCGTGCGCAGTCTTTCCTCGAGATCGGCCCCAACACCAGCTAATTATTTGGATGCCAGTGTTGTTTCGTTCTCGAGCGGGTGCGTCCACACCTCCAATCCACCCCTCCCCCTCCTCCCGGGTTTCTATGGTGGCGGTTTGCGCATAATCGTGTGTATTCACTGTGTATTCTAGCCACTAATGAGGCTTCTCAACCCACTGTGCAATGCATATGCTCTTGCGGAATGACTGAAGTTTCACTGTTGTTGCGCTGACATCACCCGCCGGGATTGACTTCACTCCCATGCATTGTGCCGCAGGGCTTGGGGCGACTTTGCGCCAGCTGGGCCGACATAAACCCAGTATTCGGCTTCCGCGCGGCTTACGTGGATTATTCAACATAGAGTGGTGTAATGGCAGTAGTAGTGGTGGTAGTAGCGGTAGTGGTTGTGGTAGTGGTAGTGGTGGTGGTGGTGGTCGTGGTCGTGGTCGTGGTCGTGGTAGTGGTAGTAGTGGTAGTAGTAGTAGTAGTAGTAATGGCAGTGGTAGTTCGCTGAACACACCCACTGGAATCACCAACTGTTTTTGAAGAGTCAGTGGCTGTGAGGCTTTTTTCTGACGTGGCTACAACCCAACCGCAGGAGATCTCCAGATATGCAGCGGCGATCTCTTGATTGATTCAGCTCGTCTCGCCTGGTTTAGTCTGTTACAGCCTGGTCTACCCTAGCCTAGCTTATGATAGAAGCCCGGAAAGTTGGAGCACCACCATACTCATGTCATCAAGATAGAATGCAAGGAATCCTAGCATTCATCATCCTCAACCCAGGTTGCAACTTCCTGGGGTTCGCTGTAGTCTAGTCTAGTCTGGTTTGTCTATGGTCTAAGCTAAGAAAACACGCACGCCGGGCATGTTTCCTGGAGGCGTAATTGGTGTCAGGTTAGGACAAGTCAAAGACAATACAACCGAGCATTTGGCTCAAGGAAAACAAGCGTGATTGCACAGCTTGTTGACTTCCGTTGTTATTGATTCAGAACCATTAAAATTAAATCTTGATTTCATTGTCGTCCCAGGATCGGGTAGTGTAGGAGAAAGACTTACATCATGATTGAATTTTGCCGGGTAGGGATCAGGACAGGCGTGGAATGGAGCGTCACGCAACGTTCGGGGGCCAATTAAAGCACAAGTACATTGCGGGCCTGAGGTGCCCAAGACGGCCCGATGCCGGGCAATAAACTCAGGCGCTTGTTTTTTTTTTAACTCTTGGATTCACTGCCTTCCTCGTCATCTGCATCAACTTCGTCATATGTATCTGACGTTGTCGTTGTTAGTGTTGCTGCTGTTGCGATTGTGGTTGTGGTTCTTGATGTCGACGCTGTTGCTGTTGATTCCAGTGCTTGTAAACAGAGTGGCGGTTCAGTCAGAGTTGATGTTAGAGCTGGAAGCACACACGCACTACAGGAAAAACAAAGTCACACTGACGCAGAAACCATCGATGCAAAATCACAAGACAATGCAAGACAAGTATATCAACCAAGGGTTTCACCAAACAATGAAAATCGCCCTAGAGGTAGTACTTACACTCGAACAGATCGGGAACATGCCAACCCATTCAATACAATTATCCTGAAATCGTTGATCGCCAGCAGTGTCCCCTTCATCTTGTGGCGTTGATCCTCATAAAATCGTCAATCGCAAGCCGTGTCCCTTGCACGTATCCCCCTCATGTTTTTCTGGTGCAAGGGTAAGAGTAGAGAGGGAAGTGTCGGAGCCGGGTAAGGGAAGCAAGCACGGGGAGGAGCAGGGGGAGTGCGAAGAGCGGGATGGGCAACGGGGTGCGGGGCGCAAAGGGGAAGAGTCGATCGCTGACAGCTTTCCTAGGTTCAGCTCTATTTCCATTTGGGGATCCTCTTCACTTGACTTACATTTTACGCGATGCTTCCCTGCAAGTGCTTGCTGAGGGCTGGATGCCCACTTCCGGGCTTGAATTGATTAGTTGTCGTGTCTGAGTCCGGATAAGACCATCTCGTCATCGCTTCCTGACCCAGGCCCAGCGCAACGCCCGGTACTTCGCGGTGATCGCTCTTTTGGCACACGGGGGTGAAAATCGAGACAAGCGACAGATGTACAACTGCAAAACAGCCCTTCACATCTCTTTGATGTTTACCTTTCCAAGACGCATCACTTGGATTATTTGCCCATAGGCCCCATAACTAGTGGGTGTGCACTTGCGCGGGGGGATGGGGTTGTCATTCCCCGGCCACTGCCATCTCACAAATCGAGAGAAACCAGATTGATTGACCACTACGGCACTGCGGCATCTGAGTCTGTTTTCTGCCGAAAAGCACGTGTTCGCCAGCGGCCTTGGTCGGGTGCAACGTTTAACTGGCTCTGAGCGGCTGTCTTATCAAGCAGAAATTGTTCTCATATTTTGACCTTAATGCATTGAAAGTCAGTTTCGTGCTGGGTGATACGGGGGATCTTTGTTTATCTTTAAGCCTTGTTCAGTTCTGGAGCTCTCCGCATCCCTCCTAAAACTACGCCATGTAGTTTTGCATCACTGTGGGCGACAAAAGGACCGTCAGGAAACGCGAGCATTTAATGCATTCCTGAGCCGTCAGCCCACAATGCCGGCCCAACGGGTGGACTCAACTCGTTAATTTTGATTGATGAGAACAGCCCGAATCAAGCCCTGAACAAAGCCTCAGGCAAGCCTGGTCTGCGTCGGTTTGCTGACCCTGCTTGTCGTTCCCAGCTTTGGCGCAAACGAGCTGCAATCCGTGGAGAAGCTCCTGATTGCACCTTAGTTCGGATGCCGTCGGGACACTAATCGACTTCCTACCTATCCTACTTACCATGTATGGGGCAGATATAGGGTTTCATATTCGCATGCATAACTGCATCTGAGGAAACACCTCTCAAGAACAAGGACAAATGAACAGCGTTTCTTGCGCGGAAACCCAACAGCGGCCCAGGTACGAGGTTTGCGCCTGCTGAGGTTGCTGAGGGCTTTAAGGATGGTGAGACGCTTGGCTGGCAATCCTTGAAACGCCATGGAATATTGAAATGTTGCGGGGTATGAGTCCTGAAAGCCAGCATGTCCCTATCACTCCGCGAAATTTACCTGAGGCCATTTCAAGATCATGTGGCGCCTCGTTCACGGTCTTCTCACGTCTGCTGAGACAATTCTGGCTGTCACGCTACTTCTGCTGGTTTGTCTCTTCGTTGCTGCTTGTGTCGCGGTGGAGGTCATCGCTAAGGACGAGGACCTTAAAAAACACGATCAGCTCACGATGTTTGTGATCGACGAGTACTTCAGCAGCCTGATGGTTGCCGTCATGACGCTGATGCAGTTTGTGACTATGGACTCCCTGGCCACCATCTACTTTCCACTTATTGAAGCACGCCCTTATTTGGTCTTGTTCTTCCTTCCGCTTCTGATTTTCATTTCGATCGGCCTCATGAACTTGGTGACGAAATGCATCCAGCAAACCTTTGTTGATGTTTCTCCGAAGCCTTTTATTAAAAGGCTGGCTGACATTACTCACAGGATCCGGAAGATTCGGAGACGTTGTACCGTGTAGCACCTTCACAGGCAACTTGTGATAGTAGTTCTCCGGCATCTTGGGAGGCACCACGGCTAGTCAGTTTCCTCGAGAGGTTGCCGATGCATGACCAGCTACCGAATTCGATTCTCTTCTGACCCACATATAGTTTATGCAGATACGGCTTCAATCGCGGAATACAGTCCTAGATCCCAGCCCTGAACTAACAACTCAACAGCCCCTTAAACAAGGCTTCGAGACGCAGCCGCTAGGTGACAGCGGCCTTGGTCGAGAACGCCATGAAGCACCAAGCCGAGCAGGAGGAGCAGCACAAGCTTCAGTTGAAGGCATCTTGGCCGCCTTGGTCTTGTTTGGCCTTTGGTCCGAAACGGCAAATTACTTTTGGGCCATTGAGTTTCATTGAGACCGAGGCGAAGGTACGAGAGGCGATGCCGACTTTGATCAACATATTCCAGACGCTGGACAAGGACAACAGCGGCAATGTTACGCAGGAGGAGCCTTTGGGCTGGGTTCATCCCCCGGGTTCGATCGCAAGGCTCGTAGAATTGAGATCTTTGCTTTCCCAGTCAACCTGCAGTTGTTTCGGGTTTTCTATTAAGCCTCTGGAGTGAACCTTTGCCTGTTGCAGCATAGCCCAAAGTATTAAGTAGACTCAGCTGCATCATGGCATGGCATGAGAGTGGCCCAGGCTTCGGCATGTGCCTGTTGATGTGCTGCCGCCCAAAGTCTTGCAAGCACTTTGCGCTGACACATGGGAAGAGCTGTTCGAGTATTTGGATGTGGATGGGACGGGAACACTCAGCCAGGCTGAGTTTGTTGAAGGGTTGCTGAACCTCTGCCTGCTGGACATGCCCATTGCGACAGTTCAGACTCTGAAGCTCCTTCAACTGATCCGTGCCCACATCGTCAACATTGGCGATCGCCTTGCAGCCTTCAATGTTCAGCCCCAGCCAGTCGCAGCATCGACCCAAAACCTTACGGGGATGTGAGGTGCTGAAGTCCCTGTGAGGGAGTGGTTGAACTGCCGGGACACTGTAGGTGTGCGCTTCTAGGCAAGCAAGTCCACAGATTTCCGGAACGAGAATCATAGCACTCAAGCAAGAAGAGCGCGAAATGAATCCGTTCGAGAAAGAAGACAATCGTCGGCCAACCGAGAGACGTGCATGTGGTCCTGCACATATTTGTCGGTCACACCAAGAAAAGAAAGAATTATCGGAGAATCCATGCTTCAGTCTGGCTCCCGCCCAAGAGTCCTACGTGTTTGATTGTTATGAGGTATGCATGTCTTTTTTGTGTTTCAACACGTCCAGACCTTCCGGTAGTGCAGATTCGTAGTTTATTGAAGATCACTGATCACATTGCTGATTGAACAAGATTGAACAGACGAGTGTTGGACTCGCGTGTAATTAAGCACGAGCGTGTTGCAGACTGCTTTTGCTCGCAAACACAGTATGACTAGACATGGTATGATGAATGCAACTTTAAATGTGTGGTGGGCGGAGTCGGATATCACTCGGAGTTTCGAGAGGGCTGGCCAATTCGACTTGGACTTGTAGGCTTCCGCTGGGTGTTTGCAGTTCGTTTCTATTGTAAGGTGAGTGCGTTTTGCTCCGCAGCTGGTTTCCATTTGAAGGGCTCAGTCTTCTCCGCCGCACAATTGCGGCAGCCTCGGTTTTAAGAGTCCAGACTACCCATGTTGTCGAGAGGTTTCAGACATGCCTGCTCAATGGCATGCATCATCTGCAGTAATTATTCCAGAATATTTAGTCGCTTTCTGGGCACATTGTAATCTATAGTACTTATACTATTCATTAGCTAGAATATCGTATTCTTGCACCGCTCTGAAACTTCCACGTGGTCCCCAAGCACACGCTGCTGCACTGCTGCAGGATGAGGAACTTGTTTAAGGTTACGCGTTGCATTAAGGCTCAGGAAGCTTGGTTTAGGGGGCTTAGTCGTCAAGTGTTCAAATACCATTATCGTAGATACTGTGTGTTTGCACCTGGCTCCGGGCCGTTAGGTGGCGCCACTGTAGTTAGTTGTTCATGACTGTGCATGTAAAACAGTATATACATGTATATACTATATTACATCATAGCAGTACCATTATTTTGTAGCACTATAGTACTATAGTGGTACAATGAAATCTGCTCCTGTGCATTCCTCAGGCGCTAGACAAGAGCCGGGCTAAGGCCAGAGAGTCTAGCTACGTAATCAGGACTTGGAAGCCAGCAGCTCACAGGTTTTGACAATAAAGACGACAGTGAGACTCAGCATTTGTTGTTTATGGCGATGCGACAGAGCAGCGGGAGAAGGCTGCCTCCATGCTCAGACTGCCGCCATCAGCAGTTGCAAGACGGATCGCTGCTTTTGTGTTTTTTGCGGTAACCGGCCATGCAAACACAGACCTAGCTGTTGAGAAGATGGCTTTGGTGGATGCAGTCAACGACATTATCATTGCTGAATTCGACCCTCTTGAGTCTGGGACTACACTGTACCTGGACGAGCTCCCGGCACAGATCAATGTTGTCGCCACTACCCTTCAAAGTGTTGGAAGCCTGCGGTTCAAAGTCAATGGAAACCATTTCAGAACTGAGAGCAATCCACCCTATGCCATGGCTGGGGATAGTGGTGGTGATTATCACGACTGGGGGCCATCGCCTGGGACGTACCTTATTGGTGCCCAGGCCTTTAAAAATTCTGGTGGCAGCGGAGATTCTGGGACCGAACATGTGATCGTCGTTACTGTTGCTGCCACGCGCCCCGTGACAACATCGTCGAGCACCACAAGTTCCTCGGTCACCACTAGCTCCTCAACTTGGACGTTCACATCTAGCTCTAGCACCAGCACAAGCAGCTCATCAGCCAGCTTGACCACGACCTCAACTGCCACAGTGTCTTCAACCACAGATACTTCATTGACGTCATCGTCGTCAAGCACCACAAGCACCACGACCGCGACCTCAACTGCCACAGTGTCTTCGACCACAGATACTTCATTGACGTCATCGTCGTCAAGCACCACAAGCACCACGACCGCGACCTCAACTGCGACAGTGTCTTCAACCACATCTACCTCGTTGACGTCATCGTCGTCAAGTACCACAAGCACCACGACCTTTCCACTCACGAGCACTGCAAGCAGCTCGACATCCACTACATCTTTGTCAACAAGCACCTCGTTGACAGCCTCCACGACCCTCTCATTGACGTCAAGCAGTTCCACATCCGCCACAGTTAGTACCTCTCTTTCCACCACAGTCTCGACTTCAAGTACAGTCTCGATATCAACAAGCAGTTCAGTATCAACTACAGTCACAACATCAGCGAGCAGCTCAACATCTACACTTTCGGCCAGCTCCACTTTCACAGCAGTCTCTTCCTCAATCACTACGACTAAATCAACATCATCGTCAGTCACCAAGATGCCACGCACTTCGACATCTACCATCTCTTTGAGCAGCACAGCTTCTTCCAGAGAATGCAATACTTCCATTGAGGTGCCGAGGGTTCTACTTCCTGACAGCCTTATGCAGAGCCCACAAGGGGAGATCTTGTCCAAGTCGCTGGAGGCTGCTTCAAAGTTCTTCTGCGAGGATGGCGACTTACATGGCACGACAACAGCGGTTGGGGCAGTGACCGCGATAAAGCTGACCGCGCAGACAGACCCGGTGGTACTAGAACTGAACACAAGCGAAGACAGCTTTCCCATGAAAATTGTACTTCCGCCAAGCCTGCTGCAGGCTTTGCTCCAGAATGGCAACGCCATGATGGTTTTCACAGAGGTGGCAGCAGAGCTAGCTCCAGCGTTTGCTGCGCAGGGCGTTGACGGAGAAGATGTGGTTCTGTTGTCACGGCTTGTGGAGCTCTCCTTCATGAGCGAGAATGCTGGAGCTTTGACTCTTCTGAACGTTTCAGGAAGCGAAGGCATCGTATTCTCGTTCGCTTCCCGCGCTCCGCTTGAGGACGAAAGGTAGCTTGGTTTCTACTGCGCAGCTCAACCTGTAAGACTGTAAGATCTTCTCAAGCCAGGGAGAGCAGCTTGTTTACGTCACCCAGACCCTATGAGATTTGGCTCTCCTTGAAAACACCCCTTAGGTGTGGATTCTTCGACCCCGAGCTGGGTGCTTGGTCGGAGGAGGGGATAGACTTCTTGGCCTACTACGAGGACCAGTGGGTGTTTCCAAGTAGCTATAAGGGTGCTAGATATTACTTCCAGCTCCGGATTGCTACAGTATTACTATTCATATGCTTGTGTGAAGGGCAATCCTTTGAATGCCAGGTTCATGGCGAAAGCATCAACCGTTCCTGGTGCCGGACCACACACACATCCCTCTTTGCACTCCTGCAGACGCTACCTGTTGACCGGGCCATTGGGGCAGGAGCTTTCATCGATGTGAAAAGCTATGCAGGGGCTTTGGTGCTGTGCGTCAATTTCGCACTTATATGTTGTTTGCTTCTCTGCATTGTTTTGCTCCGACGCGTGCGGAAGCCTACCACCGGACATGTCAAACTGGTGACACAGCAGCCTGTTCATGGCCGCAAAGAAAAGGTGCGCACACTTTCCTTTAAACTCAGCGATCTGCCGGGAGAAGTGGATGTGGAAGGGGGCCCGGCAGCCCAGCCAAAGGTCCATGTGCTGTGGGAGGAGGACCCCAGCATACTGGAAGTATTCTTTAACTTGAATTATAGCATTATGATTATTATTATTGTAGTATTTTTATGGTGTTATAGCATTAGAATTCTTGTAATATCATTACAGTATTGTAGCACTACTGTTTTCGCAGTACAGAGTATTGCAAGAGGACCTCAGCATACTGGAAGACCTACATTACCTGCGCCGGGGCCGCCGTCAAGTTGTTGTGAACCTTAACATCGGGCCACCTCAGCGCAAGGTGCCAATGACGAAACTCAAGCAATTCCGGAGACTATCATTGGAGACACTCTCTGTAGGCGTTCCTATGCTATAGGAATGTCTTCCCCCATTATTGGTACCAACTGACTCGGGAATCGAAGGTGGATCCGGCCGACTCCTATCGAGATCCTCTCCGGGAGACTGTTCGACCGCAGTGTTCCACGAATGTGGATGCAGGCAGGGGCTGGTTTATGCAATCTTCGTGCGCCAGTGCTAGTGATCAAGCTGGCCCGTTGTTAACGTATCTTCCATGCTCTTGCCTTTCAACTACGAAAACACGGCACGAATTCAGTTTTTTTCCTGGAATCACGAATTCCGATAATCATGGCAGCATTTCACGCAGAAAGCTAGGTGCCCATCTGGAGAGAGAGCCCTCGGAGACCGAGCCGTCTTCTCAGTCCAACGAACTGGTGCTTGCAAGTTTGGACGAAGCAGTGGACGTCATTTCCGCCGGCGTGGATGATCTCTACTTCCTGGAGACCGATTCTATTGTGTCTGCAGGGCTGGATGGCTTCGTCTTGCACGTGCCTCCGTCTGAAGCCTACCTGGAAGGTGAATGGGTCCTGTACTTTTCTTCGACCCTGGCATGCATGGTGCCAGCTAGAGTCGCAGGGCCAGGCACATACTGGCACAGTAACAATACTGCACTTACTATAAGCTGATACTGTAGAAATACGACAATAATATTTTTTATTGGTAAAGCGCTAAAAGCTTTGAACCACCAACAACTCGCTGCTTTGCACCTCACTTGAGCCCGCGCCCTGCCCAGCTTTGCTCAAGAGGCAACTTCCAAAGCAACGACCCAAGCGAGCTACCGTCCTATGCTTGCCGTGTCGGCCTCCGAAGCCAGCTGAGGGAGGCAGGACTACAGTGCTACTATGGAGTTATAGTATTGCTGTAATATAAAAACACTATCATGGTGTTGTAGTTGTATTAGAGTATTCTGTAAAGAGGACTTGGGCCTCATTGGTGTCTCGTGGTACAACAAGAAGAAAGATTCACGTGCACGTAGGCTGGGGCGCAGTCTTGAAAACTGCAGGCGTTGAAGCTTAGTGTTACAGTACTTTAGCATTG